CTTGTGATCCACCCGCCTCGGCCTCCCAAAGTGCTGGGATTACAGGCTTGAGTCACTGCGCCCAGCCTAGAGTTAAATTCTTAATGTGCATTATGCACTCTTCCCATGAGTGCTGAATGCATGAAATAAATACCAGATTCTCGTCCTGTTACAATTAGTAAGAAAGATTGTAAATGCAGCCTGGATGATGATAAGCAAATACTGACTGAACATGAAGGTCTTAATTAGCTCTAACTGACTAAAGGCATTTGTTAGTTTTGGCAGGGGGAGAAAACTCATCTGTGGCTATTCTAAGACCACTCTTAATTTCTTAGGTGGAATCCAACTTGCCTGGACCAGCTTTATGGATTCTGGTAAGTAGATGGACTTAATGAGAATGCTTCTACTGATATGCTTACTGCTGAGCTACTGGCTTACGGCTTGGCTTGGCTTGGCTGACAAATATTGCCTGGAATGGCGTTTGTGTATTTTCCTTGAGCATGTTTGTAACGGGGGTTTGTGTAATGATGTTGATCAAATGTCTGACCTGAATTGAGCATGTAGACAAAGTTAACACTGAAGAACCCTGTGACAGACAACTTTGAAAAGAAGAGTTTAATGATGTTCAGCATTTTAATGGAAGCCCTCATTTGTATTGCAGCTGGTAACGTTTTTATCCATGGATGGCTTGCTTGGGTAAGGACATGAAGACAGTTCCTTTCATGTTTGTGGCTGGCTTCTGAAATGTGATCTTACTAATTGACTGTGTTAGGGATTTGTCTTGTTATAAAATTTTGTAAAGTAGGTAGTATGAAAAGTCCTGTATTAAAGCAGTTATTTAAAAGTATTGGATAAGATTTTTGAAAGTAAATACTTGAATATTACTTACTTTGAGAAGTAAGTGATATTCATTGTAGGAAATGGTGTTAAACTTTTTCAGGTGCAGATGTTGGAGACCTTTTAAAGGTATATTTTTTATTGATATTAACATATTTATTGAGTGAGATACTGTTAGTGATGATTTTAAAATTAAAACAGATGGGAATCTCTCTGAAAGAAAATGGAGATTAATCTTAAACTGAAACAGTAGCTGGGAAATCTTTTAAAAATCTACCTATTTTACTACCTATTGGTAAAGGAGATTAAATTTCTGCAGGTATGGAGAGTCGGTTTGACTACACCGTGTGGAGCAATTTGTGGTGCAAGTTTTAAAGAAGCAAAGGTATAGCAGTCTCAAGCATGGTTTTTTTGTTTTCTTTTTTGAGACAGTCTTGCTCTGTTGTCCAGAATGGAGTGCAGTGGTATGATCGCAGCTCACTGCAGCCTCCGCCTCCTGAGTTCAAGTGATTCCGCTGCCCCAGCCTCCCGATTAGCTGGGACTACAGGTGCACACCACCACACCTGACTAATTTTTGTATTTTTAGTAGAGATGGGTTTTCACCATGTTGTCCAGGCTGGTCTTGAACTCCTGACCTTGTACCCTCCTCGACCTCCCAAAATGCTTGGGATTACAGGTGTGAGCCACCATGCCCTGCCTCAAGTATGGTTTTTAAGTGTTGAAAAGCCAATACAATGATGATAACATAGTTCAGCAGACTAACACTGATGAGCAGTATTAAGTCTTTCGCTCCTATCTGATGTATCTGGCTGTAACACTCCAGTTTATACCCTTGAAAAGGGAAATATAGCCATTCTATATAATTTTTCGTGATTTGGATTACTCTTAATTGTATGTAAGTTTGTCTTACTGTGTATTGTCCCTTAATTTCAGGACGCGGAATTCATGATTGAAGAAATGCAGGTTAGTTGAAGCTATTTTAAGGTGGCAAAGGATGTTTTGGTGGTGTATACACCCTAATCTGTAGATGGGAGTGTTTAGCTGTTTAAAATTTAAAATGTGACTGAAAAGGAAGTTGAATAAAATGTGACTGAGAAGGAAATTGAGTAGGGCAAATTTTAAATGGAATTGTCTTTCATCTTCTAACAGGCAGATCTGTTTTAAATGAAATTTTTCATCTTGTAACAGGCAGACCTGCTAAACTAAAAACTAGGTGAGTCAGTTTCTGGTACATGTGATAATTTTCAGTGTAACCAATGATGTAATGATTCTGCCAAATGAAATATAATGATATCACTGTAAAACCGTTCCATTTTGATTCTGAGGTTACTGTAGTAACAAGAAACACACATTAGTTTTTTGCCATGATTAACATGTTGTCTTTGTTTTCAGAATTTTTAATGACCACAGCAAGCAAGCATGCAGTTTGGCCCTTGAAAGGTGAGGATTGGAAATACTGGGACTATTGTAATTGCAGAATACATGATGATCTCACTCCAACTTGAACTCTCTCACTGATTACTTGATGACAATAAAATATCTGATATTCTGCATTCCCCATGTTGCATTTTAATTTAAGTCTGGAAGTGTGGCTAAAAGTTGTCTTCTTTTCTGAGACAGGGTCTTTCCTCACCCAGGCTGTAGTGCGGTGGCCCTTTAAGGCTCACCACAGCCTCAAATTCCTGGGCTCAAATGATCCTCGGCCTCCCAGTGGACGTTGTAGACAGCCTGATACGGAGTCTCAACAAGATCAAAAAATGTCTCCAATTTCAATAAATGGCTGCAATCCATCTGGAGTATGGAGTGATTACTTCAAAAAGGACAGTGCTTTTCATCTGTTAATTTTTAGTTGTAAGCATAAATCTCATTCAAAGGCTATTATAACTCCAGGGCATTTGCTTTATTAACAGCGTAGCCAATTAAAATTTTATAGGTGTTATAAGGTATCCTGCATTAAAGTGCAATGTTGCCTAATTTTCTAAATGAGTAAATTGTCAGGGTTTAATAGGCCCTTGTGTCAATTGATCTTGAGTTTAAAGTATTGATGGAGCTCCGTTTGAGAAAGTCATGTCCAACTAGTGATAATTCCATATAGGTTTTTGGCAAACAAGTGTTTAGGGATGCCAAAAGTAGTGGGTGTAAGGGGCCAACTGGTTACTTCAATCTGCCAGAATTTACGTTATCAGGGAAAGATGGACCAAGGAGTCAAAATTCAAGGTGGGACAATTTTAATTTGAATGTCAATGTAGCTGTGGTTATATATTTGTCGGGAAACGTTTAGCAATAACGGTTTTACTAATCTGAGTGTCTGGGCTAAAGCACTTTAGTCCTGTTAATGATAAAACTTGTTTAAATACATTTCCGGTTACCCTCTGAATTTTTTGAGACGGAGTTTCACTCATGTTACCCAGGCTGGAGTGCAATGGCGCGATCTCGGCTCACCGCAACCTCCGCCTCCTGGGTTCAGGCAATTCTCCTGCCTCAGCCTCCTGAGTAGCTGGGATTATAGGCACGCACCACCATGCCCAGCTAATTTTTTGTATTTTTAGTAGAGACGGGGTCTCACCATGTTGACCAGGATGGTCTCGATCTCTTGACCTCGTGATCCACCCACCTCGGCCTCCCAAAGTACTGGGATTACAGGCTTGAGCCACCGCGCCCGGCTGAATTTTTTTTTGAGACTGAGTCTAGCCTCAAGTGCAGTGGTGTTGATCTCAGCTCAGTGCAACTTCTGTTCCCTGAGCAGGGGTGCAATGGTGTATCTACTCATTGCAACCTCCACCTCCTGGGTTCAAGCTATTCTCACACCTCAGCCTCTCAAGTAGCTGGGACTAAAGGCACCTGGCATCATGACTGGCTAATTCTTGTATTTTTAGTAGAGATGTTTGCCAGGCTGGTCTTGAACTGACCTCAGGTGATCTGCCTCTTGATCTGGCCTCCAAAAGTGCTGGGATTACAGGCATGAGCTACTGTGCCTGACATATGAATTCTTTTGTTTTGAGAGAATCTCACCCATCCTGGAGTGCGGTGGTGTGTTGTTGGCTCACTGCAGCCTCCACCTCCCAGGTTCAAGCAGTTCTGCCTTGGCCTCCTGAGTAGCTGGGATTACAGATGCCCACCCATCATGCCAAGCCAATTTTTGTGTTTTTAGTAGAGATGGGGGTTTCACCGTGTTGGCTAGGATGGTCTTGATCTGACATGTGATCCGCCTGCTTCACCCTCCCAATGTGCTGGGATTATAGGCATGAGCCACAGCACATGGGTGGGCCATAGTTTATTTTTTGTTAGCTCATGTTACAAAGTAATTAACTTTCCTTAAAATAAGTATATTTAAGGTAGCATCTTTAGGATGAATTATGCTTAAAAAGCAAGGAATGTGATCAGTGTCACAGATGGTTCTGTTTCTTCAGAGAAGGGAATTCTGGGAAAAGATGTTTTATTCAACTAAAGTCTAAGCATAAAATAATCCCGTTGGACTTAACAATTGATAGATCTCAACAAGGAGAAACTTCATACAATAAAGATTTCTTGAAAGCTAATGATTACTGTTGCAGCTGGCAACTGTTTACCTTGTTTTTAAAAATTTGCCACATACAACCTTAATTTTATAGGAGTTTGGGGAGACTGAATTTGAAATAAACTCTGCTTTCAGTTTAGCATGAATTCCAAAGTCCTGGCTGTTTTTGACTTTAAGTAGTTCCTTAAATTTTGAGAAATAACTTCATTTCAAAATTTATCCTAACACACCTCACTGAGTGACACTTCACTGTATTTCAAAATAAGCATTTTTCTTCCTCATACATGCGAGGACAAGCTAAGTAATGCCTAAAGTGACTAGGTCTCTGAAATACTGAAGATAGGATTGTGGCTGTGTGTGGTGGGTCACAACTATAATCCCAGCACTTTGGGAAGCTGAGATGCATGGATTGCTTGAGTCCAGGAGCCCAGAGACCAGTCTGGGTAAGATGGCAAGACCCCTTTTCTCTCAAAAAAAAAAAAAAAAAAAAAAAAGCCAGGCATGGTGGTGCACTCGTACACTCCCAGCTACTACTTGGGAGGCTGAGGTGGGTCACCTTAGCCCAAGAGATTGAGGCTGCAGTGAGCTGTGATTGCACCACTGCTCCAACCTGAGTGACAGTGAGACCCCATCTCAAAAAGATTGGCTCCTGGGTCATAGGGCCTTTGGTATCTGTAACCTAAAAAATAATCTCTGGCTTTTTGGTGTCTTCTGTAACTCTCATTTCCAGGATAGAAAGACCATATTTTGGTCAGAATTAGGCTCTAAACAATAATAGTGAATCTATTATATTTAGAAATTAGCACCCTTGTGGTATAGATGAAAAATTTTAGGCCGGGCGCGGTGGCTCAAGCCTGTAATCCCAGCACTTTGGGAGGCCAAGGCGGGTGGATCACGAGGTCAAGAGATTGAGACCATCCTGGTCAACATGGTGAAACCCCGTCTCTACTAAAAATACAAAAACATTAGCTGGGCATGGTGGTGCGTACCTGTAATCCCAGCTACTCAGGAGGCTGAGGCAGGAGAATTGCCTGAACACAGGAGGCGGAGGTTGCGGTGAGCCGAGATGGCGCCATTGCACTCCAGCCTGGGTAACATGAGTGAAACTCCGTCTCAAAAAAAAAAAAAATTTATTTTTCCTACCCAGTAAAGGGCATCTCTAGGACTTCTGCTAAGAAAAGGCAGGTAAAGTTAGACACCCTATTTTACTGTGAGAACACTGCTGGCAAAGACCTGGGTCTAAAGTACACCCATAAATGAGAGATTAGGTGAAAGGGCAAATTGAGGAAAAAGCTCCACCTAATGGCAAACCAGCTTCCTGCACTAGGGGACACTCATACGCTACAGCCTACTGGGCATCACAAATTACACTTGGAGGTAAAGCTTACTTTAAAACAAAGATTACAGTTTCTGTTGCTTAGAAGACTGACAAAAATGGGCAGGATATAAAACTGATGGGCTTAGTGTTTATAAATGATAAATTGCTAGGCATGTGGTGGGTGTCTGTAGTTAGAGCTATTTGAGAGGCTGAGGAGGGAGGATTGTTTGAGCCTAGGAGTTTGAGATCGGTCTGGGCAACATAGCAAGATCCTGTTTCTTGCTTTTTTTTTTTTTTTTAATGGTTCAAGTGAATCTCCTGCCTCAGCCTCCTGAGTAACTGGGATTACAGGCACCCCCCCCCCCCCCCCCCCGCAACCACGACCGGCTAATTTTTTGTAATTTTAGTAGAGACAGTTTCAGTATTATTGGCCAGGCTGGTCTCGAATGCCTGACCTTGTGATCCACCTGTCTCAGCCTCCCACAGTGCTGAGATTACAGGCGTGAGCCACTGCACCTGGCCCAAAGATCCTGTTTCTCCATTAAAAAAAGTTATAAATCAGGGCAGGTGCAGTGTCTCACGCCTGTAATCACAGCACCTTGGGAGGCTGAGGTGGGCAGATCATCTGAGGTCAGCAGTTTGAGAGCAGCCTGGCCAACATGGAGAAACCCCATCTCTACTAAAAATACAAAAACATTAGCTGACCATGGTGGCACACACCTGTAATCCCAGCAACTTGGGATGCTGAGGCAGGAGAATCACTTGAACCTGGGAGGCTGAAGTTGCAGTAAGCCGAGATTGTGCCATTGCACTCCAACCTGGGCAATGGAAACTCCCGTCTCAAAAAAAGTTATAAATCAAGAATTTCAAGACAAAACTGAAGACTGAGTAGAAGAAAACAATTTCAAAATCACTGATCAAGACCTTGTTCTTATTTCATAATTATTAGTTTATTAAAACTTTTAGTTGCATTAGAATTTATAAGGATATCACAATGAGTTTTGGTGTTCAGTTTTTCGCACATTTGGGGTTAATTTAAGGTCAATAATATCTTTGTTCAGAGACTTAATGTTTTTTATTTGAGATGGAGTCTCACTCTTGTCACCCAGGCTGGAGTTCAGTGGCACGATCTTGGCTCACTGCAACCTTCGCCTCCCAGGTTCAAGCAAACCTTATGCCTCAGCCTCCCGAATAGCTGGGATTACAGGCATGTGCCACCACACCCAGCTAATTTTTGTTTTTAGTAGAGACAGGGTTTCACAATGTTTGGCTGGCTGGTGTCAAACTCCTGACCTAAAGTGATCCACCCTCCTTGGTCTCCCAAAGTGCTGGAATTATAGGTGTGATCCACCACTCCTAGCCAATATCTTTAAAAATAGAAATATAAACAAAATTGATAAATAAAATGACTTTTACTGTTGATATCAGTTTTGTTTGATCTGAAGCTATAGAGATACATCTACCTACCTATGTATGGATGGATAATATCTCACATTTGTGAAAAGCTTTATAGTTTTTCAAAGTACTTTTATTCACTTTATCTCATAGATGTTATCTCCTCTGATTCTAGCAACAAGAGCCCTGTGAGGTAGCCAGGGCAAGTATGTATTTTACACAACATTAGCAGGAAGGGAGGCTAAGAGAGGTTTATGTAACTCCCTCAGGCTGAAACACTGAAAAAAAAAATTGTGACTCTCATTTCAGTGATGTTTTCTGCATTGTATTATGGTACTCCTCACTATATTATGTTGATGGTTGAAATGTCATTATAAAGCTTGATTTATATGATTCTCCTGATGAGGCTGATGAAATAAACTCTATCAACTCACTAGTTTTACAGGGGTAACCATTTTCCCACATTTCACACATGATTTGATTACCTGTGTCCTAAGTGAATAATCTAATATTGGGGTATGAAAAACATGATTTGAAAACAGTACACCCCACTATATTATTTCAACAAAGAACCATCTTTCACACCTCTCTAAGTAAAAAGGAACTTCAAAAAAAAAACCAAAAAAAAAAAAAAAAAAAACCTGAATGATGCATGTGATCAAGTCAAAATTGGGTATCTTCTGCTTCATTGTGATGAAGAATGCTGCCTGGATTCCTTCCATGTAAAGACTTGATTGTCAGACCTGTGGCAGAACTCTAGATCTGATTTTGGGGGAACCAACAGGACAAAACCCAAAAGCTCAACTTTCTGTATGGTATGCATGATTCAATGAGCTTTTGCTGCTTTGGAGTCTGTTGGCCAGGAGACTTGGATATGATAAGGCTTCAGTTCCTCAGGAGGAATAGAATCTGGGGTATTGCTCATGAGGTCATGTCCCCGGAAGGACTTTGGGAAGGCTATGACATCTCGGATGCTTGGAGATCCAGTGACGAGGCATATTAGTCTGTCTAACCCTGTGAGTAAAATACAAAGATAACAGATGAGAAATGTAATGTAATGTTGGAACTAAGTTTTTCTATAAAAGTTGTAGAGAACTTTTAAATAAGAATCTTTAACAAACTGTAGCCAACCATAGTTCTCTACCTTTTTAGAGAACTTGTATTGTTTGAGGGGTTCTTTTCTATGTAATTCTGGAAGAGTACTCAGGACTAATAATGTTCACATGCTATTTGGGTTATCACAGCAATTAGTGTTCCTAGCAAGGGCTTACTAAAGGCCCTAAAACAGGTTTAACAATGTATTTGGTGCTTGGCAGGGAACTCCATAAACAGAAGGAAGTTCCTGTTGCTAGGGCCTACAATCTAGGTGAGCTTCCTAGAATGTCTCACTCTTCCTTGCTTTGACAAAACAAGCAAAGTGAGTAACCATGGCAAACAGAAGAATGCTGGCATATTCCTGTTTTCATACAAGCTGAACATTATGGAGCAGTGCTTTCCAGATCCAGTGAGTGTGTCTGTGAGGCTACAGGGATTTGAACAACATTGACTTAAGGTCTGCAGTTTTAAACTACTCATGATCTTTCAAATGCAAATTATCAGTTAAATTATATCTTTATAACTGCTAAGATACATTTAAAATATATATTATTGAAATTTATTATACTTTGGGCTCTGGGGTACATGTGCACATCCTGCATCCTGCAGGATTGTTGCATAGGTACATACATGCCATGGTGGATTGCTGTCTCCCTCTTCCCCCTGCCATTACTGAAATTTAAACAGAAACTTATAGTCTCATGGAACTCTTAGACTTCTCCGTCCACCTCCACCACCACAAACTTGAGAGCCCGAATTTGAGACAGTGCAATGGAATTCAGTTTAGCTTATAAAAGGAAAAATTATTTACCTAAGGCAATTCCTCCATGAGGGGGTGCCCCATAATCTAAAGCCTGGAGTATATGGGAGAGCAATTTCACATCTTCCTGAAATTCAAAAGATAATTCAGTTTAAATATATGTTGAAGGTCCACTAAGGGCCACCATCTAGGCTTAGATGATAAAGGGAAAACAAAGTTGAGTTTTAAAACACCCAAACCTGACTTAACTAATAATAAAAACTTATTGGAAAAGTGTAAAGAAAAAATTACCTTAAGTGATTTACAAGTTAGCAAGGGAAAAAGACAAGTCATAGATGACATTAACATGTACAAAAATGCCTAGTGTTCAGTAAATGCAGCTTTTACTGTATTCACAATGCAAACAGAGTGAGACCAAATGAGGAGGTGAAGATGAAAAGCAGGGAACTCTCCTGTCACAGAGACCAAGGGAAGAGAACATTACTAAGTGGGCGACTTGTCAAATGCTGCTGGGAGGAAAGAGAGCTTAAGGGTCAAGAAGAGGCCACTGGATTTGGTGACCATGTGAGTAACGTGTAGGGCAGTACTTGTAGAAATGTTGAAAGTGAGTTTGAAAATGGTTCTCCAACCAGGTTATAAATCAGGAGCAAGGGGGAAGCTTCAAACAAATATGCCAAAGCCTCATACTCAGAACTTTTTATGCAGTTGGTCTGATGTGTGGCCAAGGCACCAGTGTTTTTTGTTTTTTTTTTTTTTTTAATGCTTTCCAGGTGATTTTATTTTAAGGTGCAGCTGGAGGGGGGAACCACTGTTTAGGGAAGCAACAGAAGTAATGTATTCTAGGCCAGATGCAATGGCTTACTCCTGTAATCCCAGCACTTTGGGAGGCCAACACAGGCAGATCACCTGCGGTCAGGAGTTTAAGACCTGCCTGGCCAACATGGCAAAACCCTGTCTCTACTAAAAATACACACACACACACACACACACACACACACACACTCACTCTCACTCACACACACACTAGCTGGGTGGTGGTGTGTGCCTGTAGTCCCAGCTACTCAGAAGGCTAAGGTAGGAGAATCACTTGAACCCGTGAGGTGGAGGTTGCAGTGAACTGAGATCACGCCACTGCATCCAGTCTGGGTGACAGAGTGAGACTGTCTCAAAAAAAAAAAAAAAAAAGAAGTAATGTATTCTTACTGACTCTTTTGAAAAGTTTCACAATCAGAGGAATGAAAAAGGCTGAAAACTGGTGACTAGAAGCTGGGCTGGGCAGGAGGATCACTTGATTCCAGGAGTTTGAGGCTGCACTGAGTTATGATCATGCCATTGCACTCTAGTCTGGGTGATAGAGTGAGACTCCATCTTTTTAAAAACAAACAAACAAACAAATGCACAAAACTCAAATGGTGATTGGAGGCTTTGACTTGGCAAAGTTAACAGATTTTGGCCGGGCGTGGTGGCTCACGCCTGTAATCCCAGCACTTTGGGATGCCAAGGCGGGTGGATCTCTTGAGGTCAGGAGTTTGAGAGCAGCCTGTCCAACATGGTGAAACCCTCTCTCTACTAAACATACAAAATAGCTGGGCGTGGTGGCACGCACCTGAAATCCCAGCTACTTGGGAGGCTGAGGCAGGAGAATTGCTTGAACCCAGGAGGCTGAGGTTGCAGGGAGCCAAGATTGTGCCACTGCACTCTAGCCTGGGAGACAGAGCGAGACTCTGTCTCAGCAACAACAACAAAGTTAACAGATTTCACAATACCCTTAGACTTTAAGGACATTGAAGGCTTAAAGCTAAAGGAGTCATCTTATAGTCAGAGTTCTCCAATCCTGCTCTCACAAATGAAGTTCTTCCGTCCTACCTCACACTTGTCAGTTAATCCCACAAAATGGTCTTTCAGGACCAAACTCTCTAGTCCTGAAAGACTTTTTCTTTTGAAACCTACCCAAGCCTTCTATAGCATCACCAACAAACTTCAAATTCTTAGGTCTGCACCTGTACAGACTCTTCTTTTTCTTTCAAAAATCCTGATTACTCCACTATCACTAAAATTATATACCCACCTTAAATATAGCTAAAGTAGTATCTAATAAGTGATATAAAATCTTTTCAAACTTCTTCTCCAACATTATCAATTTTAGTCACTTCCAACTGCATGGTTTTCATTTTATTTTATTTTTTTTCAAGCTGCATGGTTTTCTTAAGCAGTGTAGTGGTTAGGAGCATGGGCTTTAGAGCCACCCCGCAGGGTTCAAATCCTGACTCTGCTTACTTTTGTACTGTCACTTTGGCAAGTAAGCTGCCTCAGTAAATCTCATCTTTAGAGTGGGCAGAATAAAGACATTTATCTGCACTATTATAAGGGTATTTAATATGCACTATTAATTAGTACTTAAATAGTGCTGTTTAATAGTGCTATGAGCCAGATACTATTTAAGTATTTAATATTATTACTTTTCCAAGTCCTACATTAAAGGTAGAGAGATAGCTGATGCTATTTTGTATCTTGTGAATCCTCCATTCATAACAAATGTTTAATAAAATAGGCTGATTTAAGTCAGATGTGGTGGCTTATGCTTATAACCCCAGCATAAGCACTTTGGGAGGCCAAGGCGGGAGGACTGCTTGAGAGCAGGCGTTTGAGAGCAGTGTGAGCAACACAGGGAAACCTTATCTCTACAAAAAAATTAGTCAGGCATAATGGCATGTGCCTGTAGTCACTGTTACTTGGGAAGCTGACGTGGGAGGATGGCTTGAGCACAGGAGGTTGAGATTGTAGTGAGCTGTGAATGTACCAGTACACTCCTACCTGGGTGACAGAATGTCTCAAAAACAAAAGCCAACAACAACAGGAAAAAAACAAAACTGAAAAATATTCTGGTAAAAAAATAAGCCCAGGATAGCAGATGGTGTTTGTTACCTTTAGTAAGGTTGCCAAGATATATCGCTGTAGCTCTGCATTGTGAATTCGAATCGAACCACCTCCTATCTCATTGCCGTTTAAAACCAAGTCATAGTGTTGGCTACGGACCTAGAAGATTCACAGAGACTTTATGTTAGAGAAAATGTCTGGTTTTCTGTTCTACAGGTTGAAGACCCTGTAGATTCTTTTTTTTTTTTTTTTTTTGAGACGG